AGAGTGAGAGGAAGGGAAAGTGGGGGGATGTGGGAAGTTAGGTGAGGTATGATAACACCTCTGCAAAAAGGTAGGATGACTGAAACTGGGAACCGTTTGTCTGTGTATCCACGAACAGGGAGGATGTTGCAAAAAAAAAAAAAAGCTGGAAGTTGACAATGTGTCTGTCTGTGTATGCAAGCTTTTATCAGATGTGTCAATCATATATAAGAGCAGGTATGTGTTGGTAGGAATGCACAGGGACTTCCACACATCAACTACATTCAATGTATATGCAAAGACCACACTCACACACACAGCTGCTTTTGGCAGAGAAGCACGCATGAATATGCATAGTGAAAGCACTGATGAAACACGGGAGGCGGAGAGATCAAATTCGTGCGATTTCCACAGCTGCCAAACTGTGAGGAAAAAGCACAAAGCTAAATTGTTCTATTTAACGCGGCAGGAGAAGAACATGTAGCCTACTAAATGCTCACTCAATTAGTAAGTTCAAGTCAAATAATCAGCAACAATTAAATATATGTCACAGTGAAACTACACCAAGTCCATTTGCTGTCAAAATTCAGCTATTTCAGTAATTGTTTGATATTGACGTGACAAATCAGAAAGCACACATAATATAAATGAGGCTGTCTACAAAATGACTGATTCCTAAATTGCAGCATACAATTATTATAAGAAAAGACCATTCTTGACTTAACATGAATTATAGTGAATTTTATTGCTTGAATTGCTTAAGATATTAAAGACTAAGATAATTTTATAAATGCATTTGTGCATAAATAACATGCCTAAATTGATTTCAACAACATTGTTCTAGAAATTGAAAAAGGGCTTTTAAAATCTGCCTAGCACTTATGACTGTGTTTAAAGTATGAGGCTGGTTGTGGTTGTCAGTCTACATACAGCCAAATCTACATACAGCCAAATAAAAATAAAGTCTCGTTACTATTATCTGGACCTTGGTCACTCCAAATGTTATACAAGTGGTCACAGAGCTGCATGATGCAAGTATACCTGTTGTGTATGTAAAAAAAAAAGCACTGTGCATGCTTGTAAATTCCAGCATAAAAGACAGGCTAAAATATCAAAGTCTTATAATAGCCTCACTAGTCATATATCAAAGCTGACAGATAGTGTAGCTATTTAATGATTGCTTCGTAATCTCAAAAAGAAAGAGGAAGACTAGAACTCCTTTGTGATCTCGCTTCAATTTTCTGGCGCCTAACGCAGTCTGATAAAGGTTAATACACGACTCCCTTTTCATTATTCAAAGACGTCATCAATCTTTGAAGAGGGGTGGAAAAAATAATAAAATAACAACGGCACTTAAAATAATCTGCCTCAATTCCATAATTAATCTCCTCCAGCTTTTCAGACAATTATGATGTTAATTAACCCAAAATTCCCTTCATGGCGATGGGGAGAGACATACGATCCGCCTTGCCGTCTCACACGCAGCCTTTATCTCTAGCATCAGTATCTTCAGAGAGGAAAAGTGAGAGAGGATGGAGGGATGAAAGGAGAGAGCACTCAGCGTGGTCCAAATTGGATTGTGTTGGTCTGAGATTGGGCAGGTTGGATGCAGTTAGGTTGTGATTGAATGGTGAAGGGTCAGGTGAGATGGGAAAGAGGGATGGGAGAGAGATAGGTGGATGGGAGGTTAAAGTCAGGGTGGTTAATATGGGAATAATTGGGTGCTAAGCACTTCCATGCTCATTATATGAAGGAGAAAATGAACATGGAACCAAAGGGCCCTTGAATTAAACTCAAAATTCCTCCCACCTAAAATAAGAACAGACAAAAAGAAAAGTGTAGATTGTGAACACACACACACACAAGTCTATGTGGTTAGGCAAAATGGCCTTTCTAAAGACAGATGCAGCATGCTCACTAGGACTAGGAATATATCAGGCAGCTCCACTCTAGTATCAGCTGTCAGGTCTGGAGAAGGCCGGGAAGCTGCTGAGGCTCAGAGCATTGCGCCGTTTGTTCTGTGAAATTACTCACAGGCCCAGCTCGTTAATCTACACTACTGTGTGCTGCAGCAGCAATTATTACTTAAAGAATAACAACACCAAGGGAGGAGGCATATAAAACAACTACAGAGGAACTGTTCAGTTACGTTCATAACCTGCAGCCAGGGCCACTAGCCAAAGAAACATGAAACACGGGATGGAAAATATAATCCACCAGGAGCCAATCATTAACAAGTCCCACCCAGCACTCTATGGCATGCTAGTATTTGAGGAAACACATTCCTATAACTTAAGCTATAGAGCCCTTTATTAGTCCACCTAACCTATCATAATTAGAATTCCAACATCGGTAAATAACACCCCCTCCAAGTACACATGTAGTTACTCTATTCGTAAAATATCTGCAACAAAGAGCAAAATGCGTGTAATTGTCCACGAGTTGTCCACGGAATGAAATGAAGGGGAATAAAAGAGAACCTAATTGTTTGTTGGCCTTTGCTGAAAGAGCGAGACCTGCAGTCCTGGTCTCGGCTGCATGGTGAAGAGTTAACAGAGCAATCAGACCTGCAGCCGAGGCCTCAGCTGCGTAGTCAAGTGTTAAACAATGGAACAGCTGTTGAGAGCGATGTCTGCACTTCCAGAAATAGAGCTGTTCATTTCACCTGTCTGTCTCACACCTGTGTGCAGGGAGTGAGAGAGAGTGCTGGGGCAAGACTAAGGCAGCAAATAAGGGTAGGAAAGCAGGAGGAGCGACCGGCAAGCAGCCAGACACACATACATACGTAAATACACACGAACGCACGCGCACTAGCAAAGGAAACTATGGGGATGAGGCTGCTGAACCCTCTGGGGCCAGTAGTAATGTAGCCATGAATTCACACATCTCTCTTTGACTCAGAACACTTTGGGAACACAGGGAACTTATATACTAAAAATACTGCCAGAAAATGGTTGCTGGCAATGTCTCCCCTTTTCAAAAGAAATTGCATAAAATTCTTCTTTGAACTGCCAAAAGAAAAGAGATAATAGGAAAAGAAACACAAAAAGAGAAAAGGTAGAGAAAGAACACAAATTTGAGAACTAGAGGAAAACCTCAAATGACCTAAAAAAAATACCCTACGCAAATACAAAACCATTTTGTGATAGAACATTTCTGTCAAACAGCCCAATGCTTGTTGACAATGACTAAGAGTCATCTTTGATCTTCTGTTTTCATATTGAACTATCAAGTACACTTTAATACCCTTTCAGACAAAAGTACATATAATTGAGACAGTTTTATCAGGTTATCATGAGGGTGAGGCTTTGACACTTACTTTAGGGACAGGTGAAGCATCGGTGACTTTCTTAGCTCCACTGGTCTCAGGGCTCATCTCGGGATGGTCCACCTGAACGTGGCTTTCCAGGTCTTCCAGGGTCTCAAATTTAACAGCACACTCTGGGCAGCGCAGTCCAGTGGTGCCCTTCTCCCCAACCTCTTGTGGGGTGACAACAACAGTTGGGGACTGGCCATTTGTACCCCGACTCATGCAGCCAGCACAAAGACCATAAGGCAGGCCGTTCACATCTATCTTGACCAGTTCTTGCTTATTCTTGAAGTCTTTGAGACACAGGGCACATTTATAGAGTTTGTGGGCCTGCAGCTGGCCATTGGGAGATGATGAGGCTGATCTTCCTCCTCCGCCACTGACCCCAGAAGACGAGAGCTTCTGCATGTGAAAAGTTCCATGAATCTTCAGTTCGAGCGTTGAAGTGACAGTTTGCATGCAAACTACACAGCGGAAGCCTGTGAGGGAGTTCCTCAGGTCAGGGTGCATCTGGCAGTGCTCAATGAACTCTTCCTCACTCTGCAGGGGCATCTTACAGATACGGCAGGTGCCTGTGTCCAGGCTCTTGCTGTGGGTGACCTTGTGCTCAGTGAGAGTAAGCAGTGAAGGGAAGCGTTCGCCGCAGATGGGACACATGTAGTGTTTTGCTGGGCCACGGTGCGTCTGAGCATGTTCCCTCAAGCCGTTCTCAGAAAAGAAGGTCCGTGAGCAAACATTGCACTTGTGGTTACCCTTGATGAAGTCGGCCTTCTTTTTTCTTGAGCTTGCATCGTCCTCACCAGGCCTGATATTGTGGTCTCGAAGGCGGTGGTTTTGAAGCAGAGATTCCATGGTGTAGGCCGCACCACAGATGTCGCAGGCATACATTGGCTCTGAGGCATCAAGCTCCTCTTCACCACCGCTAGCTTCATGGCTGTTCGCGGTTTCCTGATTTCCTCCTTTTAATAGCATGCTCTGCAAATCTGCTTGCTCAGCAGCTGCAGTCGATCCTGCTGTGGAACGCTTAGAGCTTTGAGTCACCCCATTGGGCGTTCCATTTTGGCTTCCTCCATTTCCATTGCCATTTCCTCCATCAAAAATGCAGTGCTTCTCTCTGAGATGTCTTTCCAAAAGGACAATGGCGTGGAAGGCCTTCCCACAGAGCCGGCAGTTATACTTTTTACTGTGAGTAGTGATGTGACACTGGAGCTCTACTTCTGTGCCAAAGGTCTCCCCACAGAATATGCATTTGCGTGCTTTTCCGGTTGCCCCCGTACTGGTAGGGTGACCCAAATGACTGTGCTTCACGTGTAACTGCAGGTCACTTTCTTTGCGGAAGTCCCAAGCACAGGCCGTACAGCGATACATTTTCTTCTCATTGCTGTGCTTGACGGCCAGGTGGACTTGTATGGACACCTTTGAATCAAAGACCTCCTGACACAGTGTGCAGTGGTACAGTACAAAGGTATGCATGTCTAGCAAGTGCTTTTGCAGATCGTCTACGGAAGAGAACTGTTTGTCACAGCTCTCACAGACATACTGGGTGGAAGTGGTGGTGTAGTGAATAGTCAAGTGCTGAAGCAGTGACTCCTGAGAATCAAAGTCCTCTTTGTTGCACTGTGGGCAAGACTGCCTCCTCAGTAACAGTTCCAGGTGGGACTTCAGATGGGCTTGGAAGCCCTCAAAGCTGGTGAATCGAAGGTCACACTGATTGCAGGGATAGTCTCCATTAGCAACTGCTGGAGTGCTGTCACCAGTTACCCTATGGCGTTTGGGTGAGGATATCTCCACGTCAGATGAGGCTGGGCTCAAGTCTGCCACTTTGACTTTGCGCTTGTTGTTGGCGAGTGGGATGTTCTTGTGATTCTCTTTAATGTGTTTAGTGAGTTTGAGGAGGGAACCGAAGATGGGAGAGTTGGTGCAGTAAGGGCAAGAATACACTTCCATGAAGGACTGCGAGGGCTGCAAGACTGGGGACTCCATCTTGGTCACACCTCCCCCACTGCTGCAATGGGTCTGTTGGATGTGCTCAGTGAGTGAGGACTCTGTAAGGAAACCCATGGAGCACTGGTTGCAGAAGAAAGCATGGTTGCCCTCCAAAGTGGTGGATCCAGCAACAACACCACCACCACCAGATAAGCAGTGAGAAACACGGATGTGCTCTTGCAGGCTGTTGATGTCTGCAAACATGTCAGGACAGTAGTTGCAATGAAAGGCCGAAACGTTACTGAATTGCAGAAGGGGAAAGTTTGACGCAGAGCTCCCACTGGATCTATGTGCTTTGCGCACATGCTCATTAAGGTTATAGAGAGTTGGCAGGGTTTCCAGACATAACTGGCAAGTGTGGCTCTGCTGAGGTTTGTCTGCATGGATAGTCTTCAGATGAATCTCCAGGACAGCCAGGCTGTTGAAATCTCTCTTGGAGCAATATGGACAACTGTAGGTCCCTTTGCCTGACCAGCTTCCATCATCATGATCAGAAGAAGGTGCAAGCTTTCGTCTGCTCTGTCCAGGCTTAAGGGTGGAGTCTGGGGTTGATCCTCTCTCCAGGGAGGCACTGGAATCAGGGGTAGCGCTGCTCATTGATGCCACGCTTCCCAAGACTGGATCAGGACTGGCACTGTGGTTGCTGGAGTCTGGATGCCGGTGGCTGTCAAGATGGCAATATACATCCTCTACAGATGGGAACTGCTCAGCGCACATGGGGCACTTGTGTTTCTTGTTGGCATGCGTTCTGTCAATATGGGTGAGTAGAGTGCCTTCATCGCTGAAGATTTCAGGGCAGTGGATGCATTGAAGCTCTGCGCGGTCCGAGAGCTGGGGATGCTGTGTCAGCACGTGTTTCTCAAGCTCATCTGTCTGACTGAACGTCTCTTCGCAGTAATCGCACATGTATAGGTCCTGGTCCTGCTCAGCTACATCACTGCTAGATCCATCTCGCTTACCCTGGTCTTTCTTTGCCAGGTGTTCCTTGTTCTTCCGATGAGCTTGCATGTGGCTCTGGAGAGAGGAGGTGGAAGAGAAGCCACGCTTGCAAATGCTGCACTTGAATGGTTTGCTGGAACTGTGTGTCTTGAGGTGGATCTTGAGATGATCGCTGCGAGAAAATGCTGCCTCGCACTCTTGGCAACTGTACTTCTTGTCACCGGTGTGCAGCTTGACGTGACGATCACGGCTGCGCTTGTGTTTGAACAAACGACTGCAGAAGGTGCATTTGAAGGGCAGCTTGTCACTGTGGATCTGCTCATGGCGCTTCAGGTAGCTGAGGCGACTGAAGGACTTGTCGCAGAACTGGCAGGGATAAGGCAGGCCAGAGCCCCCTTCTTCCTCCCCTGTGCCCATGCCCATATCGCAGCAGCCATCCCCTAGCATCTGTGACGGCGATGCCACGTCTTTGCTAGAGGGAGAGGACGCTACCCAGGAGAGCCCCGGGTCATCATCACCATCTGCAATGCAAAACACAGACAGAATTAAAATGTTAAAGAGGCAGAGAAAAAAATCAAAATAGAAGCAAAGAAATAAAGACAGCAAACCCCAAAGGAGTAGAGAAATAAGAACAAAGATGTATTTTTTTATCCTCCCTCAGCAAACAAGCTCATGCCCATATCCCCCAGATTTGGATCTGCGTTATCATATTTTCATTATGGTCACCAGATTGAAAAGCTTCTCAAAAGTGATTACAGCACATTCAGAAAGGAAGGCCCTCTTAATGGACAGCACATACAAAATCATAGCACTGGATTATTTATGTTTTTTTGCTGTTTGTGCAAACACACGGCCGGTCTAGACTAATGCAGGCATACATTATACAAAGATATACAAAGCAGGTTGCTCTTAATTCTGTCCTGCTTTGTGTAATCTGATGGGGCCTGACACAGTCCACACGTCATCTATTTAGCATCTCAACTAGCAGACTCCGAAGGAAAGCAAGGAAGAGAGCTCATGACTTATTGAGCAGGGATTCTGCGAGCACAAAGTCCCACTGCGGCTCAGACAAACACAGAATTTTCTATCAGTGCACTGTTTGTTTGCTTTATTTCCTTTAAGTTGTATGTTCACTCTTAATGCGTTGAAAAAGCCTCTGGTATAACAGATCCCAAAAAAATGTATGTTTACAGAGGATAACACTCCACATCCCCTAAAAGCTCCATCCGCACTCACAAGCCAAATGTAACAATGGCCGCCTATGCTCAGTATTCTAATTAGAAATGAAAAACCAACTGAAACGGAGTCACAATCTACGACCCAACGCAATGGGAAAAGGGAAAAGTAAAAAAGAACAAAGAAAGTGCATCACCTCAGCGTGTATTGTATAAACTAATAACTTCAACTCCATATGGCAGTTGTAGGATTTTACTTCCGCCCACTACTCTCCCATTACACAAAGGTGAGCACAGCAGAATTTGTAGAAAATAAATTCAAGTGATGAATCGATCCACTTTAAAATGTAGGTGCTGTGCAGAACAAATAAATCTCCACGGGGGTTTGTGGGTAGAAATTTGTAAAACCATGAATTATGAATTTAGCTCTAAGCGAGAAATTAATTCAGAGCTGGAGTAAAGAAAATGTTAAAAATAGCATCTTAAGCCTTATGATGGGATTTACTTCCCCTACTGTTAACAGAATATAAGAAAAAAGTGATTTAAAAAAAAAAGGCGTTTTGATTTTTTTTTTATTCACTTCTTGAAAGGATGATGTCACTGTAAGTATTTTGGCTTATGCCATTTTAATACATAACAAAACTATAAATATGCAGTCTTTTAATTAATACATCAACTAAAATAAAAAAAATAGAGACAAAATGACAAGAGTATACTCAGAATGTCTAATAAAAAAAATAAAGTACTCATGTTTGTGCCCATGTGTGTACCCTCTTCTGTACCCCTTTCATTTTCTGTTTCAGTCTCACTCACTTTCTCAGATTACATTTAGCGTAAGACATCCCGGCCCACCTCTCACACACCTCCTCTGCCAATTTCCCCACCCTCCTTCAAGTGCAGTGCCCTCCCCCTGTTCTGTTCTCATGCTTTTGTGTCCGTGTCAGGGTAAGAGCTATCCCAACACAACCTAAAACCCTTGCAACACGGGAGAGAATGTGTTGCAGTGGCCCAATGAAAGAGCCCAGATGAAAAGCCCATAAGGGACTTAACCGTGGTGAATTCTTTGGCTGCACAATAATGAGACCATGGCCCCTGACAGGCCATTCTCTGATCCAGTCACTGTGGAGGTGAGAGGGGGCGGGTATGGTGGTGACGGTGGGGGTGCCGACTGACAGGTAGGCCGTCCTGCTGAGACACAGACATGTACCACAGTGCAAGAGATACAAAGAAACACTTGCTTGAGTTCAGAGCCAGAAAAAAGGAGGGAAAAAAAGAGGCAGAGTAGAGGAAAAGAATGGAGCCCAAAAGAAAAAAAAAACTCCTGGCACATGTGGTCATTCTGGCGAATTATAAATCTATTAATGCTAATGCAATCCCTCTGACTGCGACAGAATGTGAGAAATCACTTTTGAGAAAGAAGGAGATTATAGTCATTAAATAGCTTTAATCCTCAGAAGTGTGGCTGTCGGAAAATGGAAGATCACATGGCTTTTAGGGGGCTTTTGTCATCTGTCCACCGGGGGACTTGGCAAGAGCACTAAACAGGGTAAGAAATTTCAATGAAAAGTTAAATTAGAAAAGAAACAGAAAGAAAAAAGTGAGGGGGGGAAAGAGAGAGAGAACAGAACTGGCGACTGGAATGGGCGCGAAAACATGGGGCACCTTCCATGCTCCTGTTCTTTCCACATTTACAGGCTTGACCGACCTTCCCTTTCTTTTCAGATTTTCTCCCGCTCTGACAGTTTGTTTCTCACTTGTTCCACATTCCATTCCCAAACTTTCTTTCATGTTGTGACTCATTACCGAATTAACAGGCTGCTCTGGTGGTTGCCACTGGCGCTGGCCTTCTCCTTGCCAGCCTGTCCCATGTGGAGGGGTGGAGCACAGGATGGAAGGGTGTAGCGAGGGAGGGAAGAATGGGAAGACAAGACTGGCAGAAGGACACATTCTGATGTCCAGGGATGGGCCTGCCACCCCGCCTCAAACGGGGTCTGGTAATTAGGACCGCGATAACAGAAACACATGGTGATGGCGGCAGCCACCCCAGCACCTAATCTGCAGATAATTCTAGGAGGTTCAAGAGCAGACCCCCCCACCCTGCACAGACTCCCATGCCTCCACCAGACCGGGCTGGGCTGAACCACATCGGGGCCAGTTAATGGGCTAGCCAAAGCGCTGGCATGCGGGGCCGGAAGCGTGGTGGAAGACGGTAATGAAGACGTGCTCAGTCTGATGTCTGTCCTCTCTCCTCTTTATCAGACACAAGGACAGATAGAAGAAGAGGGGGTGGGAGCCAGATACAGAAGGGGAAAAAAGAGATCCCCTCCATCTCTCCCAACACCAGAGCTGTGGATTTTGTGAATGCCCCTACCGACACGAGCCAAACGTCAGAGCCAAAACAGGCTAGTGTGTTCATTAGCGCTTGGAGGCATATACAGCAGACCCACACTTATGACATATAGCACTGCTGTTCCCCTTCTGGAACAACACACTATCCAAAAACAATACAGCCATTCCACAATGATTAACACACTGAAATTTATGCTACATGTGAGACGAGGTTAAATATGACAACAACCGCACCAACACTAAACCAGTTTCACATTCATTCCAACATATTCTATTCAAACTTGACAAATGAAGGCAAACATTCTGGTTTTGGCTTGATTAATCTCATCATCCATCTAGGTTAGATGCCACTACTAACATCTCACTTTGTCCTAAAATGCTTTTTAAGTATTTTGCTTCAGAAATACCCAGAAAGTGCAGTTGTGGAAAACCAGAAAACAGTGTATTTTTCACCAAAATGTGTATTTTTGCTGGAGAAGCTTAATAATTTTCCACAAATGTTTCATTTCAGAACTACACCCAGAACCTATTCTAAAGTATAAGTATGTTATCAGTGACCTAAACGTCAACATGCTAATGCTGTTAGCCTCAAGCTATGCTAATTATAATAGTAATGGACCTTAGTAAGGGAAAATGCCATATTAAATTTGACAAAAATGAGGCTAGATGTAGAGCTTGTACAAGGTTGTTTCATAGCGCTACTTGTTCAGCTGATGAAACACTAAAATTACCTCATTCCAAAAGAGTCCAAACAAAACAAAAATTCAGAAAACAAGGTATGATTAGACATGACTTAGGACCTTAAGATATGACACATGGGTGGCGCTAGGAAGGGGCTAGCAGGTGCTCCAGCACCCCCAAGAAAAACCAAAGCACCCCCATAAAAAATGAAATAAAATAAAAACATTTGACTCATTACACATGCATAACTACTGCAATGCAATACACCGTGACGTGATTTGCAGTCACACATTTTCGTAATGTCAGCATTTTATTTTAAAAATGGATCGGTTCCTTGTGCCAAGTAGGCCTGCCCCCGACTAAAGATTTTTCTAGTCAACTAGTCGCACGTTTATATTAAATTGATTAGTATAATAACCTACTAAACCATCCTTTAATATAGGCATTTAAGCGTAGCCCATTATAGCCTATTCCGCACTCAAGCGCATGCATAAAGCTTGCCGCAAAGCACCGGCTAAAGTAATGATTATGAATGCATCGGGGGAAAAGACGACATTTTAATTTTTTTAGTAATAAATTAGTGGTTTCTCAGTCAGACTCACTGACTTGCCATCTCCACAGTAATGGACGTGCCTTTAATAGCCTAGCGTAATGCACCTATATGGACTACATAATCAGAGAAGATTTATTTTTTATTTTAATTTGTTTAATAGTAGACATTTCAAGCTTTCTGTAGATTTATTTCTTATGTCTGTGAGCCGGTTCATTGTAGTGATGCGCTCCATTCATGGAGACTGCATGAGATGACAGAAAGCACATCCAAAAATGAGTATTTTAAGTTCTTTCCGCAGGGGAATAAAAAAAATTGCGCGGGTGCCCCCATGTCATAGTAAGCGATAATACTCCCACACTCCTCATAAACATTTGAAATGCACCTATATACGTGATTTTATTATTCATAAAAAAATTATAATAATAATAACAACCTGTTTTGGTCATATTTACTATTAATTGCCTAGCACCCCCTCAGCACCTGCGTTCAAAATTCTCTGGCGCCGCCCCTGATATGACAACCTATTGAATGGACCTTACACCTAAGAATCACATCAGGATTTTTATTCATGTCAGATTAAAAATGGTGCCTATCCCTAATGCTGCAAAACGGCAAACTTTTATCAATATTATTTAAATCAACAGTACATAATACAAACTATGATAATGTAAACAAATTATTTGTGACATTTTTTTGTTTAATTTTGTCAATTTTTCAACAACAAAAAAAGAAACTATTTATTTATTTATTCTACAAGTAAGGACAACGGTGCCTATAACTGGGTGGAAAAAAACACACAACTTTTTATAATTAAACTAATTAAATTCTGCCATAAATGTTTAACTGACATGCAGCAGAATTCAAAGTCAAAGCTTAAAAAAAAGCAACGCAACAAATTTCCTACTGGTGACTTCTAGGTGGTGTACATGTGCACTCAACTCATAAATATAATCATTCCGACATTATGCTAAATAAAAACATAGGGAAAAGCGATTTGGTAGAATCATGGTCTAACTAGACCTGAGTCTTATCACTTCACCTAGTCACATTCCACATCCCTGACCTCTCACCCCTCCTCCACCCCCTCCACCTTTGAGCCTGGCCCCCTGCCCAAAACCTCCACCTTTCCCAGCAGCCCCCCTGCCCAGCTCACAGGCCCTTCCCCCTGGCCCTCTGCCCACAGCCCGGGGCAGGAGAGACACACTGTAGGGGGCAGAAAAACAACTTCCACCCGGGCTCCCACTGGGCAACCCAGCACGCCGGCCAGACAGGCCTGAAGCAAGAGCCAGGGGAAAACAACTTCCAGAGTATAGGACTATAGGAGTTTTTACTGGCAGTTCATCTTAATTCTCTCTGTTCATCTCTCTCGTTTATTTTTCTGGGCTTCTCGCGGAGACCTCCCTCTTCCCTATCTTCCTTCCTTCCTCTCTCCCCTAGACAACAGGACAGTCATAACCAAACACAACAGAGGAAAAAGCTATGTTGCTAAGAGGGTAAGAAAGAGTGGAAGAGTGAGGACAAGAGAGAGAGAACGAGAAGGGAAGGGGGACGGCACGCAGGAACTGACCACATGGCCAGCAGTCCTCTGGGAGCAGAGTCTCTGAGACCAAACACCTGTTTACCGAAACTGAAATACACACACACACAAGCAAACCGACTCCTGTATTTCTCCCCCCAACTGTTTTGCCGTGTTCCTTTGGGTTTCTATGCTGACACACTCTCTGCCTCTGCCGTACCCTACCGCTGCTCAAGGGAGACAGTCTGTCAGGGGCCTGGTCCTAGTGGACACACAAACACGCACATACACACAAACTCATGTTTGTCATCCCTAACGGTCTCTGCTCCATCAAGCTGACACACTCCAGTCTGTGCTCGCAGGACCCCTGGCATTGCTCTCGGTACCCTACAGAGGTCTCTAGGGACACAGTCTGCTAGGGGTCTTTTCCTAAAGGACACAAACACGCAAACACATGCCAAGGTGATGTCATTGTGTAGCCAGTCTGTCAGGAACCATAATCCTGGAGGAAACCCATGTATTTACACTCATATGTACCCTAGCATACACACACACATATGCGTACTGCAGTGATGTCACAGGACGGACTGTCTGTCAGGGGCCGGAATCCTGGAGGACACACACTCTTGCTGCCCACGGCCCATATGGAGTAGTTGGCGCCCATAAGCGTCCGAGCAGCCGGGCTCATTCCCAGGGCAGAAGGTGAGGGGTAGGGGGTTGGGAAGGCAAGGACAGCTGACAGTCTGCTCCCCATCTCCCCTCTGGCGACCCCCAGGTGAGGAAGAGAAATGGAACACGTTCTGGAGCCTGACCACTCACTCACCTCTAGAGACCACAGAGTGCTGTACAGATGGGTGCAGTGCTAACATGACGACAAGAGAGGCTGGAGAGAGGACAGGAAATGATGGGCAGAAGAATGAGCAGATCGCTGACACCAATGTGATACCACATGTTTTCCACACTAGGGCTAGGAAAAATATAGATTTTTTTAGATTGATTGCAAAAATCACATTAATTTGAACAATCTTCAAATCAATTCTTAAAAGCTCAAATTTTTTGACTGAGATGCCCAATCCAGGGTCTGTGTAGCTCTGTGACCTCGGATTTGGGCCGCCATTCCGTATCATAATTTATGAATAATATAATTGGATTTACAGTAATAATTTTGGCCCACTGCCTTCAATCAAGTTTTTGTTTTTGTAGCAAAAAGTTTGGAAATTTCTGCTCTATGCACTCTACTTTATGCAGAAAGATCATTTTATTCATATGTTTATTAAAAAAATAAACACACACACAAACATAACAGAAATTATACCAAAGTGAATCGGTGATCAAAGTGATTGGGCAGTTACTTAAAATAGAGTTACTGTAAAAGATCAACTGGATTAATTAAATAAAATAAAATGAATTGCAATTGAATCTAAATCTAAATAACCTCAATAACTGAATCAAAACTGAACATGAATCAAATCAAGAACTATGCTGATACCAGGTCATAAACCCCCCAAAAATGTGCATCAAGGATGCATAGAAGCCCCAAAGGGGGCACTCAAGTGCACCCTTATGAAACCAAAAATTACAAATGGTACACATCAAGTACATCACCTGGGACAGGGCCTCTGACTTGAGCGTTTGCTAATGAATGAAAAAATATATATTTTTTGGGGTTCTGTGACATTGTTTAACATCTGCAACAGATGCTGTGAATTACTACAGAAAGCAATTCCAACTCTGCGTTTGTTAACAGGTGCAAAACAGCAGACTTACTGTTTCACATCTACAATGGAAATTCATGCCGCAGAATACTGCCCCATATAGAGTTCTACTGTAAGTAAAACTCAGTTAGCAATTTTTTGTCTTTATAAATTGGAGGAGCAAAATTATTTTCAATGGTAATTGAGAGCATGCCACAGATGTTGCCGATA